TCCTCTAAAATATGTAAATATACAAAACTGAAAAGCAAATGTAACAACAAATGGACTGCAGCAGAATGCTTATTGGACACAGAGGTGGACAGAACAAAACAAAAAAACGGCTTAACCTGTTCAATGACACCAGTCTTCCCTAACTCGACTATGTATGAGGGAGGCCAGTGTTTCCATTTATGTTTGTTCAACACATTATAAAAACTCTAGAGCAGAGTTCCCACTCTCAGCAGCTCATGCAGAGACTTGGTCCTGAGAGCATGAGGAAAACCTGTAAAACTAACCAGTAGCTGTGCTTCACGGAGGACTGATGTTTTATTAGTTACAACATCCAGAGACTCGTTCAGTCATGTGTGTGAATGTAACCTTTCTGAAATAAAAGTGTGCTAAAATTTACAAAGAAAAACATTTATAATACAGACATCAGCTAGAAAACACAATTTGAATAAAGCAAAAAAAAAAAAACATTGTTATTGAAATGTCAACAAATCAACATTTATTCCTCTAAAATATGTAAATATACAAAACTGAAAAGCAAATGTAACAACAAATGGACTGCAGCATAAATGCTTATTAGACACAGAGGTGGACAGAACAAAACAAAAAAACAGCTTAACCTGTTCAATGACACAGTCTTCCCTAACTCGACTATGTATGAGGGAGGCCAGTGTTTCCATTTATGTTTGTTCAACACATTATAAAAACTATAGAGCAGAGTTCCCACTCTCAGCAGCTCATGCAGAGACTTGGTCCTGAGAACATGAGGAAAACCTGTAAAACTAACCAGTAGCTGTGCTTCACGGAGGACTGATGTTTTATTAGTTACAACATCCAGAGACTCGTTCAGTACAGAACAGCTCCAACATCCACAGAACAAACTATTACTGGAAATAGTACAAAAGGGGAAATGTGTTACTATACTTATTTCATGTCCAATCAGATCCGTTTATGATTTCTTAGTGGGTTTCAGTTCGATTCATTTTTATGTTTGGTGATTACAGATGGGAACAGACAGAACACGAGTGAGATCACTGGGGCATTAGATGCCTGACATTATATTTTGAAGTGTCACTGTACTGGGTCATGGGTTTATCTGCGATACCACACGTGCCAACGCCAACCTTTCCATTCACACTCTCTGGAGATGCAAATATACTCCTCTTCACCTGGAGATGATGATCATACAACATGAGCATGATGGCAGGGTTAAAAAAAAAAACGTAGCAGGATTAGTCAT